TAAGACCTCCCTGGACTCTGTACATGTGCATGATGCATGCATAAAAGATACAATGAACTTTTTTTAAACAATTACATAATAATAAATAATTTTATACAAATAGTCATAAATCAAGAGTAAGATATAATGCAAGTCTGTACTGTGTCCAGCCTTCTATGCATTTCGCCGAAGCTTCATCAGGAAGTCGGAGGTAGCCTTTAGGATTCACATGAATATGCCAATCAGTATATTAAATTTCCGATTGTTTTGATGTTATTTATAGTTTAAATTAATGTATTATGATTTTTCAAATTATTTCATGTTCCAAAAGGTGACATTGTGGATGGTGGATGTTTGCCTGTCTGGGAGTTGTCCCCGCGATTCGGGATGGGTAATGATGGGCCTACCCCCTTACCATATCTAGGGGGACGGTCGGCATCTTCATATCGCCCTATCCCCCTTACCGGGGGAGGGGCGGTATGATTGCTGTTATCCCAGGGTGTTACATCTTCTCATCACGCTGACATAGGATTTGATCATGGATACTGGCGGGTATATTTTTATCATGTGGATCTTGTAATTTTTTAATAAATAAATGTCATTTTATTATGTAATTTTGTCATTACTATGTTGTATTATCCCTAATTGCATTTTTTGACACCTTAAAAGCCCCATCTATCTCTTTTTTTGCTGTTTACTTTTTTTTAGCAGACAAGGCTTTTTTTCCACCCCAATATTTTTGGCCAGCTATAGGGTAAATAGTAATTTTTTATAACATAGGGGCGTCCCTACCATATTCGCTGCCTGAGGCGGTCAGGAGAAGGGGAAGTCGGGGTTAAGCCAAGGTGTCGGGAAGGGCTTGCTGTTAGTCAGCCGTGCTGCCGCCCCCCTCCCCACACACAAACACCTGCCACCCCCAATGAGTTTCCACCCGAGGCTGCCGCTTAACATAGCTTCTACCTGACTCCACCTCTACCGCCTCAGGCTGCCTTATTATGGGGACGCTCATGGGTCTATACATCAGACCTCAATATGGCCTGGCCCACTGTGAAGGAAAGAGGGAAGGAGGTATTTGGCTTCCAAAAAGGGATAGTCGCTCCAAAGGAAAGACAGTTAGGAGATATACAGCTCTGCTCATTTTTTTAAAGAAAACCTGAAAAGGTTTAGAAAAAAATATTGTTATTATTAATAATATGATTCAAATTAAACTATTAGGTATCACAGAATAACACAATCATTAAACAACCCATAGCCATGAAGGAAAATAACATCATCGACCTTTAAAAAGTTTCAATGACGGCCTGTAGTCTCTTAATAAAAGTGTATGAGGCCCTTTATTATGAGGCTTGCGTGCCAAAAAAAACTCCAGGTCCTGTAAATTGTTTGAGATCTTCCGTAAGTTACTCAGTGATGTTAAGGTTAGGAGACTGTGATGGGCACTGCAAAACCTTTTTTTTTGCTGCATTTACTGAGAGGTTGACTCTGCCTTTTGTTTTGGTCATTGTCAAGTTAGAAAATCCAAGTGTGTCCCATGTGCACCGTCTGGGCTGATAAATGCAGATTTTCCTCCAATATTTTCTGATAATATGCTGCATTCATCCTTCCATCAGCGTTTTTTGTAGTGCGTCTTTGCCCTTTTTTGTGTGCGTTTCAGCGCGTTTTAGGCTTATTTTCGCAAAACGCAGAAACGCGCTGATTGGCAAGTTTCCATTGAAGTCTATAGAGCAAAATGAGCTGACGAGCGCCACAAAAGAAGCTCATGGACTATTTTAAACAACAGGCATATTGTTACTCACGATTCAGTGTGCTTACGTAAACAGCCACCATAGAGATACTTGGGATTTTTATTTGCATGAGTTTCAGCATGGAAAAAAACGCACAACGAAACGCTCTGGGGTGTGAACAGGACCTAACTTGCACACACAAGGATGACTGCATAGCAATCTGCTTGAGGAAGGAAGCACTCTAAAACAGTAAGTCAAGACCAGTGCTCTGGGGACCAGCTGTCTCTGCAAGAAACTAAACCCTTTTAAAGATCAAGAAGCAGCATTCAATGTATGGGATTTATTCAGCATTTGAAATAGCTTAAAATCCTTTTGACTTTAATATAATTTTAACTAAATTTCCTGTCCTGCTGAAGCTCAACCCCCACCAAAAAAATAAAAACCAGAAGAGAGCCACCTCCATGCTTCATGGTAGGGAAGGTTATAGAGTTATATTTGGTGTTATCACTCCAAATTATTTTGCTGCAGAAGTTTTGTGACTTTTCTAGGTGGTTTGGTGTATAGAAAGCAGGCTGTTTGGGACACTGGCACAGCAAAAATGGCTAATATTGTACAAATTTTGCCAGGGCTATGCTAACATATACGTAAACCTTTAGCATTAGTGCTTCCTGGGTCACTTTACTCAATGGATAGGAGTGATGATCTTGATGCACTAATGAGGAGGCAGAAAGGTGACATAGGAACCTAATTTGTTGAACCAGAAAGACGAATTGCTTAATCAGAAACTACATGTGTCACGTGTCTGGTTGTGCAGTGTTAGCAATGAAGATCACCAGCACTCAAGGATAAGATAAATCCAAGTGTTCTTTTATTCAAAGAAGCATGTCACAAGTGTTCAAATAGTCAACGTTTCGGAACCATGCAGGTTATGTCTGCCCTGATGAAGGGACCCTGCGTGGTTCCGAAATGTTGGCTATTTGAACACTTGCGACATGCTTCTTTGAATAAAAGAACAGTTGGATTTATCTTATTCTTAAATGCTGGTGATCTTCATTGCTAAAACCTTGGATTCGCAAGGTGCCAACTGTGGACATCACTACAAGCATCATCACTTCTGAAAAACGGTCTCCATTGCTACATGGTGTGCAGGGATATCTTTGTTTATCAATTGGTTGTGCAGTATGCAATATGTGCGTGTATCACAAGATTGGCTTACAGAATTAAAAATCAACAACTATACTTTTGCTATTTTGATTTTGTTTATTTTTGCTTGGAGTTGCGATTGAACAAGGTAAAAAAATGTTTATTCCGTATATCTAAAGTCAATAGAATGCATACCTTTAACCCATGCTTCCCTCATTTTTAGACCCTTCAGTCTGTGCTGTCTGTCTTTTTTTTTTTATCAGCTACTACTCCTTTGCTAGACTTTATTGTGCAACCCTAAGCACAGCACAGAACCACCTTCCTTGTCCCCCAACAACAATCCAAAAATAGGCAGGAATGGTGGTTTTGGAACAGCAGCTAAGTAAATAGATAACTGGCACAGCGACATTTGTAAGATTCACAAATGGGAGATTTCACTAGGTCAAAATATAAGCATTCTGCACTCAACATTATTTTAAAGATAACGTTTTCTTTAAAAATATTTTAAAAAATGTAATTTACTGCAATTCAGGTTTTCATTGCTCCTCCCTTTGTTTAAATATATTCTGCCACTGGTGGCCAAGGCAGGTAATGAATTATAACCCCTAAAAAGCCACTTTTTCTTTACAACATCTAACTAGCAAATTAGATATTCTTTTGCTATAGGACAGAAATAGACCATGCAGCCAGGCACACATACAAATCTTTATATAAGAATGTGAACTGGTATTTGATATGTAACTGAGGTATGGAGCTTTAAAACTGCAGTCAAAATTTCTAAATGTCTTTGTGTTCAGAATAAGAATTCAGATAAGTGGTTCTTCCCATTCAACTGGAGAAAAACTCAAACTATTACACCACACAAAAAATCTTAGGGTGTATGTAGCCTTAGAAGAACATGCTGGCTGTTAGGATTGGCTGGCACATGAACTCCACAATAAGTTGTTCACTACCAATAGAAACTATTAACTTTATTTAAGGCTGGCTAGTTCAGTGATTGGCAACTCCTTGATTTCTTTAAAGGAGAATTATGAGATGCGTGAATAACACTCATCCACATAATTCAAGCCGACCCTGTGACACTGAAACGGTGACAGGTCAGCTCTATATAATGGGAAGTCAACTAATACATACCGCTGATCGGTGACTTACAGATCCTCTGCCTGCAGAGATCTGTGACCGCCAGGCACTGCTCCCGGCAGGGAATCCCCCTCCCCGTTTTTCCACCGCCGACTGGAGGAATGGACGGGGAGGGGATGGGCACAGCTGGCAGAGAGAGGCAGAGCCAGTGGGGTGGCTTTCGACAGTATTGTCGGGATCTGTCCGGGCTGCGGCGCGGCTCTGCGCTCTCCACATATAGCGGGCTATAGCTATATGTCCTCCCATGACCCTGAAGAGAACTATGGGGGGAAAAAAAAAGATTCCCCATAGTTCTCCTTTAACTGTCAAAAGCTTTAGGTTAGATTTATGTCAGTTTTCAATAGTTATGCCTAAAAGAACTGTAATCTTTAAGTATTTTAAGTTGGAACCCACGTCATCTTGAACCATCACTGAGGCAGACTAAAGTGATTTTTTTGTGGTTAATTATGGCGATCTTAACATATAAAACAGGCCTAACTACTTTTGCAGCAAAATTCTAAAAATAGAAAGTTGAAAAGGTCATGAAGCCTTACAGAGGTCATTTTGGCTCACACACATTATTCTAAACCATAAACACGCCAATGTCTTCCACCAGAGAGAGTACTAACAGCATATATAGGTCAAAGGGTCAGCAATGCTTAAGAAAGTATACGATTACTTGATACAGACTGAAAGAGTTTCTCTATAACAAGTACATTACAGCACATTAAACCCATTTCTGACAAAGTATAAAATTATATATGTCAATGCAAAATGTCTGCTACAGTTTTGAACTCCCTTTGTATAGTTTGCATATTTTTCACATGTATATGAGGTTGACTGATTTAAAAATGAATGAGTATTTAGGGCATTGTAAACAGTCAATGATTTGCCCTGAGGATGCTAGCTGGTATTTGCGAACTAGCCACATTGCTGCAGAAAATTCCCAGCATGCAACCTGTATTTCATAGCATAAAAAACACAGAAAATGGATGACATGAGAGCCAATATATAGAAAAGGAAGTAAATTCTGACCTCTGCAGCCTGTGTCTCTTGGTGGAGCAAAGTAAGACCCGTTAAATCTTCAAGGAAGGAATGTGAAGAGTTGAAAACATTAGCCAAGAAGTCGAATTTTTCTTTTTCATACTGATCAATCACCTAGAAAAAAAAAACATTTTTGAAATTGCTTACATATAGGTGAAGTTCACAATCAATCAAGTAATGAATCAATCAACCAATCACATTTACATTCTAATAGCCTGCTTCTGTCAAACTTCTTGCTAGACTAATCTGTTCACATCCTTAATCACCTATACCTTTACTGTTACAATAGAGAAGATGTGGAGGAAAACCGATGGACCTTTAATTTTGTAAAGATCTCTACTGAATAAAATGTTCTACAATTATGGAACCAATGTATGCATTTTTTCTGTCTCATTTAGCTAGGGCAAATTTAAGAACAACCCAAATAAAATATTAGTTTTCTTTTAAAGGGGAAATGCAGATGGTTAGAAAATGTTGGTATCTGCCTGTATTGCACAGATGTCACCACTGGTGAAATTTTCCCTCTCCAGTTCTCAGCCATTCTCCAGAATATTGCTATTCTTCTTTCAGTGGTAGGAATGTGTGGAAGCGTATATTTATAAAGGATATTGGGAAGCTTTGATCAGAAATTAAAATAGGTGTAGAATTGCTTGAGGTGCAGGTACTGGCCCCCAACCAGGTTCTAAGCAAGTTTCCACTGTGACACTAAAAACAATTTACTACTAGAGCCTTCTGATCCTCCCTCTCTATGCAGGAAATTGTGGAAAAGCTAATATAGAACATCATGTTTTAGTTACTTACATTATCTGCATTTAAAAATAAATGTGTTTTTAATTTATAAGAGAATTGAACCGAGATATTTTTATATCTGCTTGGAGTTCAGTTTTAAAGCTGCATGTCTACTGTATATGAAAGACAGTACTGATTTCCAAAGATAATAAGCCTATTTGGATGTAATGGTGGGGCTTATGTGGTCAAATAAACCATTAAACTATACCAGTATATATATATGGCCATCAATAGAGTCACCAATGCCTGGAAGATTTTTGAAAATGACCCAGACAAAATGATACCTTGGTTTTCCTGGCTGGGTAAAAAACCTTTTTGTAAAAAAAAATATACATTGTTGTGTAGTCTTTACAGGAGGCCCCTCATGGGCTCTGTAAAGTAAGTAAATAACACTAATTGAGTGGATCTAAGAAACTGGCTTAATGGACCCTTAGTCCAGAAAGCCTCTCCAAAGCAAATATTAATACACTTATAAATGGTATACCCCCCAAACGGTGTAACGATAAGCAGCAGACTTTGCAACTTTGCATTTTAAAAAAAAAAAATTCAACAAGTTGTCATATTTTGATACTAAGTAGACTTGCAGCCCCAAGACACCGGTCACATGGATCGGTTTATCGCGCGTTTTCCACTAATAAATTACTCATATTTCCGAGCGATATCGCTCTATGTAGCTTGACCAAAACATTGCAATGGAGCTGTTCACATCTCACAGCTTAATGTCGTCTGAGCTTGTCGCTCGTACATGACCCTTTTTCCCCGCGGATGTCGAGGGATTCGGCTCCAATAGACTCAATGGTGTTGCACATTACCAGCGATATTGTGCGACTTTGTTGCGCGATATCGCGCTACAGAAGGGTCACTTTTGCACAGCAATATGGAAGGAAAGAATGATGTCACATCAAGACCGCAGTTGATTGGTTACAGCCCAATGCAGCAGCGATGAAGTCCCTCCCCAAAGTCGCACTACGTAGCGCGACAAAATGTGCATTGTCACGCAATATAGCGCAATGTAGCTCAATGCCTCTCACGAAATCACGTGATTCTACATGTCGCTCAGTGTGAATGGGTTCTAAAGCTTGCAGTATATTTTTAGAGAGCACCAATACCTACTGATATGCCCCTACCTTAAAAGTGAGGGGAGGTATAGGATAGGTCGTTAACTAGATTTTTTTTGTTTGTTTAGTAAATGGCAGTTGTTTTACCCATTCTATATTTTCTTTGCTCATACATCAGCTTCACATGCTCTAGTGTGCCTCCCAGACAGATTAGCTTAAAGAGTATATTCCTCTTGGAATGGAAAGGGGGTTGTATTTGGCCAGGCTTGCTGTGGTTACAGTAATGTTCACATAACATGCATCAGTGCTGCAAAGATTATTTTAGCGTATATTTAAACTTCTGATTGCATATCCAAACATTTGCCCTTAAACGGCATGCAGAAGAACCACCACCATCACATGGGCCAAAATGTCACTTAGGAGGGGGTAGGGTCACACTTCTAATCCAAGAAAGTTGTTATTTGTATACCAGAGCACATGCAAATTCAACACATGGGTAATTCTAGTGGTAAACTGGAAAATGGACCAGGTTTACAAGCACCTGGGGGTGACTGCTGTGTACCAATAGAAGCAGATTAGATGCTTTGATCTCTGCTTCAATACGAGTTAGGTATAGTAATCCAGTGAGTCGCATCAGCCCGATCAGCTATGAGAACCATACTGGACAACAGCCCTATAGCATCTGCCAAATTGCTTTGCATCAATGAAACTGAATCCTACAATGGCTTGAGATAAACTGGTTGTCACTGTTTCCCACAGTACCTTCCAATCTGTGAGTGAATGAATGAAATCAGATTCCCAGTGTAGCATGTACAGATGTTTTGGGAAAAGTTCAAAAGGTGATTGATTCATGGCCAAAATTTAGTGAAAGTCTGCCCAGTGCCAACTATATAGAATAAACAAGCTTAATTTTTTTCTTCAAAAGCAAAGTGTAGCTAAGCAAATTTTTTGTCTCTCTTTATAATTGAGAATAATTTTGTAAAAGTACAACTTTAATTATTTTTCTTTAAAACAGCATGTTATTAACCACCAGTGTGCTCATCTAGTAAAACATTTACACACATTGATTACACACATTGATTCCGATTTACTAACGTGGTAGAGGCTATGTACTTTAAAAAATAATTTTCACCTATCTTAGTAGAAATTCACTTTGCCAAAAATACTCAATCAGGTGCAAGGAAAATAAAAATAAACGGTAGTTTTGCACTCAGCAAAAAATCATTTTCCGGTAGTTAATAAAGGAACACAGGATCAATAGAATTCAGGAAACAATTGAGTTATACTGCCATGTTTAGAAGGGAACTGGACCTTGCTTCAGTATCAAGTATAATGTGATGACATCACAGACCCTTAGACTGCCGAAGCAAGGGGGAGAAGAGGCTGTGATGTCACGCGGCCCGATGGGACTGAGGATCAGGTAAGCATATATTTTTTTATTTTAAACCCTAGACAAAAATGAAAACTTAACCCTTGCAGTGCGGGGTAATTTTTTTTCAAATGCCTGAAGTTGTTCTTTAGTTTAGGTGTGGTATAATTTTTAATTTTGTATCAGATTATTGAAGGAACAAATAGTAAAGCTTTTCCGCATCTCAAGAGTAAAAAATAGTATACTATAATACTATATAAAACACACATATACAATGTAGTGTGTGTGTGTGTGTGTACATTGCAACCAAGTTATAAATTGTTTTGTTCTAAACTTTAAGGGCCCACCACAAAGAGTGCATTCCAGAGCGTTCGGCCTCTTGAACGCAGCCCAGCCGGTTACCTGCGTTACACGACTGAAACAGTCAGGAAAGGGCAGAATCAGTGAGTAGTTACATAGAACACATACAGAAAATAATTCAATCAGTATTGGCTAACTTTAAAAAACACGAAGTTAGATTAGTTCTAGCCTCTAGAACACTGCTACGGAAGCCCACAACAGTCTCAAGACTAGAAAGGGCACTTCAAAAATCAATGGCTAAATGGAGCACATATGACCCATGGTGCGGGCCGTAACTACCATGAAAACCTCCAGTACGAGGAATGAAGGGAAAAAGACGAAAAGAGAAAGGAACAGCCATAAGAGCATTTGAGTGGTCAGGTAAAGATGTCAGATGAGAAGACCTGGCTCTCAACTGGCATTCCACTTCATTGTAAATGTGTTTAATAGGGTTGAGGTCAGGGGTGTGTACAGGCCACTCAATTTTCTCCACACTTGGTTAGTCAAACCATGTATTTATGTAGCTGGCATTCTGCACAGGAGTAATGTCATGCTGAAAAAGAAAAGGGCATTCCCCAGACTTCTACAAAGTTTAAAGTGCACAATTTTCTAAAATGTCCTTATATGCTGTAGAGTTAAAAGCGCTCTTCACTGGAAACACTGAAATACAATACTTCAAAAGGGTATGCACATACGTTTTGACATACAGTGTTTAACGGTACCATATCTCTCTTCAGTCATAACCCCTTTATCTACAATACCTCAATAAATCTTGAGAATGTAATGAGATAGCACAAGATTAAGCAACTGAAGAATATTACAGTTAGTTTGTAAGAAAGTTCTGTTCTTTTATTTTCTAGAATGCAGTTATTTTTGTTGTTTAGACCTACCTTGTAGTGGCATTAACCTCCCTGGCGGTCTGATTCTTTTTTTTTCGTTATTTTTTGTAAAAAAATCCCGCCGGTTCCGCCCCTTTGCGACGCGGACGCTCACAAGGGACAGAACCCGGAAGACAGATGCCGGCATCGGCCGGAGGACACAGCGCGGCTCGAGGGGCAAGGTAAGTAACGCTAAACTGTAATCCCGAGTGTGGCTCGGGGTTACAGCTTATGGTACTGAAAATTAACCCCAAGCCACAATCGGGATTACCGCCAGGAAGGTTAATACTGCATGCCAGGTTTCAGCCAATTCATTCACTGGTAGTGGTGGGCTCGGGTCTGTTCGCAGCCCCACGTGCCGAGCCCGCCAGGAAGCTGACAGCGCCAATCACAGGTACTGAGACATTATCCCGGTCCGCAGGTTCAGAGATCGGGATATGTCTCAGTGCCTGTGATTGGCGCTGCGTCGCTGTCAGCTTCCTGGCGGGCTCGGCACGTGGGGCTGCAAACACGCCCGAGCCCATTACTATTCACTAGTTCTTAGTAAAATATTTGGCCGAAACCTGCTTCACCACACAACATGGCTACCCATATTGTGTATGGATGACAGGTACCATTTATGCTATTGCTAAATCATACCTCCTAACTGTCACTGATATATACCCTGTTTCCCCGAAAATA